ATACCCCCTTAACATCGGCAGTTTCCTTGTTGTGTTGCATTGTATATATTTTATCCGTTCTCGTTCGGCCAAGAAGACTGGTAACTGGAGGGTGCACTGCCTAAGGCAAGACACGTATTCGTATGAAGACAATACTGTCGGTAAGAAGGCGACGCATATGGTAATCACCACGTGGTTTTCGATAGCATCAAGAAGGCTGGAAGCAAGAGGGTAAGCTCATAGAGTGGGGGTGAAGCAAAAGTTGTTTTTTTTTTATTTTTTTTTATTCTCCAACTACCACGAAGACCTAAGGCCTAAACACCCATTGGGTACCGTGGGGCTATAGGGGGATACAGGGGAAAGGGGGAACGCCACACGGACTCTGGCGAGGGAACACGTGGGCATGCAACATGCACACATTCTGGCTCCGCCTACGAGATCCGCCGGGTGGTACCTCCGCGTTCGACAGTCAGAGACCGTCTACCACCTACGGACAATCACAACATCCATAGCCAAGAGAAAAATTTCTCTTGGAACGGGATTCGAACCCGCCCAGCGCACGGCGACTGATCAGGAGACCGAAGAGTCTACTACTGCGGCCACCGGGAAAACTACAACTACTATATACATTGGGTGTATTTTATGTTCTTTTCATGTGGTATCTCTAATATCTGCATGTATCTGTTGCTTTCGTCATGAAAGTAAACCGTAAACAAACCGTGTTTTTACAATTTAGACAAATAGCAAGCCAATATTAATAAGCCAACAATGTGTAGCATGTTGAGAGAAGACAGGTACAACAGGCAATTAGATCAAAATAAAGCAGGCGGAAGATTTTGTTAACATTTTTTACGTACATGCATAAATGTGCTCCTTACTGACCAACGAATTCAGACTAGGTACAAAAAGCCAGTCAAGGAATTGCTTGTCTCCTTATTCTCATAGTCTGTGGATTCTACCAGTAGGTATTATTATTATGTTGATACAACGCTCTCACTTCGGTAGGCATTGGTAGACAAACGAGTTAAAAGTATGCATAAAACTACCCAATTTTGTTGAAAAACAATGCATTTTAAATTTTCGAATCCGTTGTTACCGGACAGTTTTGGCTTCCTGAAAATACGTATCTTGTCTTAGACAGTTTACCATCCTGTTTCTTCTTGAATAACGCTGGTCGGCGTCAAAGAATAAACTGAATTATGACCGTGTGAACATGACTCTTGCTGGTTCACTTTTTACTTCCCGCTCCATCCAAGAGTCACGAACGCAAAATCGAAAGCGTGCCACGCTCCTTCTTGCCCCGTGATAATGTACCTTTATTCTCGACACCCTCACTGTTTCCAGTCTTCTTGCGTTCCTCGTTGCAATCCGTTTCGTTCCGGAATCGGAATCCAGACACCGATGGCCCACTTGGCATTCAGCGCAGTATAAATGGCCGCTTGAAGCGTTTCTGCACGTGCACGATGTATCATATACAAGGATGGATAGCCGGATATGAAGACAGAAAGATATTCTGGAAGTATGCCGAAAAAGGAGGTTATTTTATGCTGAAATGCTTTCTTTTCTGTTTCCTTTGCGCCGAATATTACATAAGAGGTTCATTGTCAAGTAGATTCACTCTGCACGTTCACAGACGTTATTGACAATTGAAGTCCGATTTACCTTCCGCTGGGCGGCTCTTGAGTGATTGCAGATTAAACTGACAAACATGTCAGAAGAAACTGAAACAAAAACATGTTTGATAGAACTTTTCACGACTTCATCACGTCTTGACATATATTCACGTAGATGTATAAGAATCAGTGAAACACCCCTTAAAAGGGAATAGATGTAAACCCCTTTAGAGACGCCGATATCTTTATTAGTACATTGTAGTCATAAATCGGCCGAATTCCTACCGCTGTTTACTTTTTTTTGTTTCGTACTATGTATTGTGTTCGGCTTAATATGATACATAAACATTCTGGGTATCGATGAAACAAAGTAAAAATTGTATCTAGTTTAGTATAAACTACTAGTCGATGTGCAAGGATCAGATTTTTTCAAAATAACCGAAAATGGTAAAGACGGCTAACGTTTATCTTGAAAAAACGGGGTGCAGTGTGCCTTACGTGATGAGGGATTGCCAATTAGAGCGATTGCTGAAAGGCTGCATGCAGGACGGAACACGGTGTCTCAAATTTCAAAGAAAAAGAGAGAAACAGGCAGTGTCGTACATCGTCCACGCCCTGGAAGACGCAGAGTTACAACTATTCCTGAGGATGGACTTATAGTAATAACAAGTAAACCAAACAGACATTTAACTGCGCATGAATTCACCCACAGCTTGAATAGAACGAGGGAAAACACTGTCTCCGTGTCTACGGTGAAACGCCGCTTACAAAGGGCTAACCTTAGAGGATGTGTAGCAGCACGCAAACCACTCCTACGATCTATACACAAACGCAACCGGTTAGCATGGGCCCAAGAACACAAGGATTTGACCATTGGCGATTGGAATCAAGTCATTTGGTCGGATGAATCCAAATTTGAAATGTTCGGATCTCGACGACGACTGTTTGTACGCCGCCAACCCCATGAATGCATGACTCCTCAATGCTTGCAGCCCACTGTTGAGCATGGATGTGGGAGTGTAATGGTTTGGGGATGTTTTGCTGGAACTCAAACAGGAGATTTGGTTCGTATTGAGGGTATAATGCGAAAAGATCAGTATTTGGAAATATTGGAAAACTATGCTGTTCCCTCAGGACAAAGGTTTGTTGGAAACAATTTCGAATTTCAGCAAGACATCGACCCTAACCATTCATGTCGACTATTTCGCAATTACTTGGACCAGCAGCAAGAACTTGGTGCAATGAAAATCATGACGTGGCCTTCCCAGTCTCCAGATGAAGCAACAAGAGCCTACTAGTGCTGCAGACTTGTGGGCCAAGCTGCAGGAAGCGTGTATATCCTTGTCACCAACTATTCTTGAAAAATTGATACGTCGGATGATTCGTGTCTGTAATGCAGTTACCAACTGATTAAATTTCAGTGGAAAATAGTTTCATTTTTATTTTTTTGATTAAACGCACTCTATGGATTAATTTCTCTCAAATTATCTACTGTCCCAAAACTTTTGAGCGGTAGTGTATATGACTTGTAACTTGACAGTGTAGTCAATATAATTGCAATATGTGTCAGTGTGAAGCACATTACATTAGAGTCAAACATTGATAGCTGGAGCATCATCAACACGTACAGCTACAAAACGAGTGCTAAGTTGACATATTGTAGAAAAACATATGTTATGTCACAAAAAACCTATAAAATGTCAAAAACCGATCAAAATGTCACTTTTCAAGATACGTAATTCATGTTGCCGCAAATGACGTTTGTCTGTTTATAATCTTAAACATAAGCTAACCAACGCCACCTACTTCTAGCTGTCCAAATTATCTGCCATTAGATTACAGTTATTTAAAATAAACTGAGCCTAAGCTACTCTTTGGAGACTTTATAGGGGGAGGCTTGGCTTTAGTTAGACACTTGACAATCTCTAAAAATAATGACATTTTACCGAGTTCTTAAGCATCTAAAATGGTCATTTTTTGAGGTTTCTTTGCCTTTTCGCTTATAACTCAAAAATCACCACTTTAGAGAAATAATTTCTTCGCACGTCGAAATGGTGAGGAAGTATTGTAATAGCGAAAATTTTCGAAACCGGGATATTATTATTTTTTTTTTGATCTCATATAACATGTCACTCATTTCCGGGGATCTGTTAGACTATCTGTCGGTTGGCCTATCCGCTAATCCTTGACCCATCTATAACTTGAAAAGTACCGCTTGGATTCGGAAGACATATTTCGAGTTGAAAAATAGCATAAGCTGACGCTCCACCTTTTCATCACTATTTTGTTTTTCTTCCTATTAAGCCAATTATTTTGTAATGCTGTGATGAATAAAGACCATTTATTTTTATTATTATGTTCACACATGATTATTATACTAAGTCAAGTACGAAACAGCATTGCAGTTTTTGAAAATCGATAAGCAGCTGCGGAGCTATTGGCAAAAGTCAAAAATAATAAAAATCATTGAAACTTGATTTTTTGACGTTTCAGAGGTTCCTGATTATTTTCTGAAATCTTTCTGCAGGGGTAAAAAAAATGAGGCTGGGGTTGTAGGGGGCGGGTGTGCTTCAATATTTTGGCGTTAGTATGTTTATACGTTTCCAACTCAAATAATTCAATAATTAGTACATGTTTCACACATCATAGATTTCCCCGTACAATGTGTCGCGCTTAGTTCGCACTGCTACGAACACATACACGCACTGAATCCTATCTGTTTGGCTGACTTAACCCATATACTTTTTTGGTGAAATAACTAACTTTCACCTCAGAAGGGCTAACTTGTCCCTAAAATAATCCTTATGAAGTGATAACGGCGTTCTGTGGGAAGTGCAGAGTCAACCTACTTGACTTCAGCAAACATAAAATTTCAATTTCGAGGAATTATTGAAATAAATTTACACCGGGTTACCGGACGGTGACCTCTTGATTAATATTAAAGGGCACGTTACAAACCTGATAATAAAAAATAATGAGTTGTAAAATCCTTCCCACGAATGCGAGGTCTAAGAACAAGGCATCTGACATTTTTCTGGTAAGAACATTTTTTTCGCTTGCATGGGAAACAAATCGTATACGTACACTTTACACATGCTTCTATGTAAAGCAGATTTATTTCATGTCTGGTCTCTCCGTGAAACTCTGAGAGATAAAAATAATCTCAGGCATATTTTTGTGTTCTCCCAACAATAACTTATATTAAGTTCAACTTGCTTCAACAAGATTTAGGAAAGCGGGATAAAAGAAGAAAAGTCCAGAGGATAAGGAAAAAGCAAGAGACATATTCTGGTGGAGTATGAAATTGATATAAATAGAACATTCTTATATATCCGTTCTGTGTCCAAAAATACCTGTTTCTTTGACGTACGCTTTTATTTAGATTATTATAAATAAAATGTATCATAGCCCTGAGACACACGATTTGTGTCTGTCATTATGTGTCTTGAAAGACAGAATACTGCAGATTTAGCACGCTCAAGTATAAATTGATGAATTACTTGGTTTTGGTAAGCATTTCAATTCCCAGGTACTAACAAGTTTTTGGTTTTTATAGAGTTGCATGATGTGCCAAAGTAGCCTAACAAGTAGAGACATTTTGAAACGAAACAAAAAAGACAAGAATTCTTCAGTTTTATATGTCACTCGTCTGCTTGGTTGCTTTTGCATAAAGTAAAAAGTTTTTGTAAGGATAAAATATCTTGAACAGATTCTAAACATTATTTTCGCGTTTTCTCAATTTTATCATCATTTCAGGGTGTCGTGAATTCGCCGTATCATTTTTGCCTATACTGTCTCACTATTGTGACATTGTTTACCAATTAAAAGATCGACTGTTATGTTGCAATCATTTAATGTTATTGATAAACATGGTACTAACAATTATTCAAAGAGGCTTGTACCCATTTTGAATAGTAAAATTCAACCTCATAAAATTACGGCAATATTCTTATAATCTATGAATTGTCAGCAAATTTCAAACCTTTCTGAGGATAAGTGTTTTGACAATCAGTGATTTTGAAGTGAGACGAAGGCGAGAACTGAAGATAAAAGAGTGTTTGAAGACCACGACAGCGTTTTATGTTTCGGAAAGATCCACTACCTGCAATATTTCTTCTTGGAATACAGTCACCACTTAGTTCCCATATTCTGCTGGCCGTCAAATGAAATCACAGATGGTGAGGTAATAGTTAACAAAATGTCATTTTCGGTGTTGTACTTTGAAAAAGGCCACCCAGGTGGCCGAGACGTCAGTAAACTAATTACTTCAATATCTATGGTTTTCATTCCATTTCATTTCAACCTCAGAATGAGTTTAATATGTTACATTAACAGTTACTATTGTCAAATTCGTTATCTAGTATCCAATTCTTAATCCACTTTATCCGGATAAAGGTAATGAAGTATTCCGACTATGCATTGGCGAAATAAATTATGGAATAATTGGTATTTCCGTTGAATACTACACCACATGGTGTTTCAATGCTATAGACTGCAGAAATACACGCACGGCAGACATAGGCAGCGTTAAATATCTTCTGCAGGCGTGTTGAAACGTATAGTTGTAGTCATAGTTCTTGGCGGGTCAAAGTAAGACTACCAGTATCCCCTTAGATATCTCAATCTCTCTCATAGATACACATACAGCCTACCCCTGTGTGTGAACGTTTGTTCGGTAAGCTCAAAGACATACATTTTTTAGTTGTGTGCCTCCGTCTCGAAAACTTTGTCATTACGTGTGAGTGCCCTTCAATCATATTTGTCAGAGTGACAACCTACTTGACATCGGCGTGCAATCTGACTTGTCCTGTTATCATTCTTCAATATTGTACAATGCCCGGAATTTATTAAATTATTTCCAGGAAGAGAATGTAAGCAGCGGTCCCCTGTTACCCACTTCATGTGTACTGGAGAGAGTAACAGATGCTTTGAAGATTAGTCTGCGGCCATGGTACGGAGACTTGATCTGTTTACTTATTTTATATTATATATATTTACTGAGACTTGACCAAAATAAATACATTCTCGCTTTAGAGCGATAAAACAGCAAGAGCGCATGCTAAAATAATATAGGTTAAGCTTGTACGGTACTCCTTGACTGCGCAAGGTTATGATATTATCATTGGTTAACGTATTCCATCCGAAGATACCTAGTTAAAATAGGCAATAAAGAAGCATCAAAAAGGTATTGAAGATTAATCACCATATATTAGACAGTAGCAGAGCCAAATACTCTCTTCAAAGTAGATTTCTAAATTCACTTGTGTATTCCGCTACTGCCTTATAGATGGCGCTAGTATCTTTCGGAACCATTTTTTGACGTCGGAATACAGTATGTTCAGGTAAAAACGTTAGTATGTAGAGTAGGTGAATTAAGTGTAGATATTTAAGTACAAAACGTGAAGAAATTAATTCCGGTACTGAAACTAAGATATTTTTTGGATATTGCTGCTACCGCTAGATATTTTATCTTTAAAATGGCGTTAAGTAGGTTGACTGCGCTTTCCGCGCAACGCTGTCATCACTTAGCTCATAAAGGATTATGTTTGGCACAAGTTAGCCTTTCTGAAAAAAGTGAGCTATGGACATTGTATGAAAAAAAATTTAATCGATTAATTATGTCGTAGTCTCCATATATTTGATAACACTAGAGATTTCTTCCCTGTCCTATCGAAAACATCGACCATTTGGTGACCATGCTGAACCACAAGCAGCCATGGTACAATAATACTAGATCTAAAGTGCCAGCGATGCAGTCAGACGGGCTTGGTGCAGAAAGGTCCGCGACCGATACAGGACGCGCCTATACATACAAACCCCAACCTCCAATTTCAAACCTGTAAAAACGTTTTTCCGAAAATGACCAGTAGTCTCGTCGAAGAACGTAATAGTAACCACTATCAACATCCAAGCGGTCATTTCGAAGTTATATATGACATTGAAAAAATATAGTATATATCTCATGTTAGAAAATTTTTGCGACTACAATTCGAATGAAGTAAAATGTAGGTAAGTTTTCATATTGATTTTTTTGAAGAAATTATAGAACGCTGTTTTTTGGCACCGTAAGGCCTTTGTTTGTCTTTCTGAAGAACAAGATCATTCTAAGTGATTTGAAGTCTGAATCCTGCAAATTACTAGTCTTAATGTTTAAGAACCCTGTTAAAAATTGTTAGTTTCCTAGTTGCCAAGTGTTTAAGTTGAAGGTGGAACCTTTCCTAAAAGACCCCGAAGCATATTTCGGGCTCAGTTTATCTTCAAGCATTTTTACTTAATTATTACGTCGCGCTCGTCCACATAACAGGCGTAATTATTGGAGCTGGGAACGCATAAATACAACACAGAAAAAATTATATATACTCTCCTTCACCCTCCATAACCCCCTCCCCTCATTTTTATTCTATATTTTTATATTTCTCTATTTTTTTTTATTGGTACCTCAGGGTTCGGTTCTAATGTTGTCAGCTCATGATTTCACATTCATCGTGATTTTTATTGTATTCCTTCTAAAATTGTTCTATTGCATGGTTAATTCTCTTCCCATACCCTATTGCCAGTTCAATCTCCCCCAGCCTATGCATTTTTAACTTTCCATATGCAATGGTAGTAGTGGAAAATATTGTAAACAGTGGATATTGCGTGGTTATAGTATCGATCGCGAGCACGGTTACACCTCCACTCACCGTATCATGTTTTTTGCACCTCGTTTGCTTTTTTTCATACGGAGTGCGCTTGAAAATAGTGCAGAAAACTAGCCGTGTATATTGCATTCAAGGGGCCGTTCAAGTATTACGTAAGCAGATTTATTACAATTATTAACCCCCCATCCCCCTTGTCAGCAAAAGTAAGCAAAGCTCTTACCCCCTCCCCCCATGCTTACGTAAACATTTTTTTTAATATTATAATTATAACGTTATAATTATAATTAGAAAAATAAGAAAATAGATTGGATAGAGATTATATTTTACTGATACGGTATTCAACATAGAATAAAGGACAAAAATATTATATTTTACTAACATAACAAACTTATTTTAAATTTTTGGTACATATATTAAATTAAAATTGTACATGAAACCCGAATCCATGATTCTAAGTTTTCGATGACATTGGATTGCTTCGATTGCTGCTCAGTGTTGTGAGTTTGCTCGCTTTCATCGGATTTTGGAATGTCTACGTCGTTCTCATCGAGGCATTCAACATCATGGTGCTCTAAATTTTGAATAATGCACATCAGTTCATTAGCACGACGAGCACCGACTCTTACAGGTCTAACTTTCCTATCAGTGTGCGTGTTTACTTTTTTATGGATATTTTCGATGTGACGATTTAGTGACTTGACGGAAGCATGATAAAATAAAATAAAATAATCATAGGGCATTTGCAGGAAATTTTTGAGTGAAGCACTCAAGCGTAGAGCTAAATTGACTGGAAGATTAAGAAATTGCCCTCCTTCATCCAAAACCAAGTCATCAACTGTTTGTTTTACTTTTACAGGTGGTGGAAGAAACCTATTGTCTAGTAATCTAAATAGGCCACTTCTTGGACGACAGCGTTCTGTATTTCTACATTTTACAATTTGAAGCAAGTATTAGCTCTCACGCATATGTTCTGAATACCATTTAATGTCTGGAAAATCAGGAAGATCTTGTTCACCTGCCCCAACATATTTTGCATTAACATTATAGCCATCAATTTCCATTGAACTCCATACTTCAGCTAATACATTTCCTGCAAATTCGAAATTAGGTCTTTCTAAATGTTCATCAATTGTAACGCCACGTTCATCCAAATGAGACCCAAAATGGTCATGAGGCAATATTAAACCAGCCAGTTCCTGACTAAGAGAAGCCATTCCGCGCTCTACTCTGTTATACGCACTTCTTCCAGGAGCATTGGTAGCTAAAAACAACGCATCGACATCGTGTCGCTTAAAGTGTTGTATAGCAAACCCTATGACTTTTTGATAACGTAGATTTTCATCTGGCCCTCCATCAACCATCATGATAACCACTGGTTTTACTAGTTCATGGTCAGTTTTAGCCAATGGTCGAAACTCTTCAAGTTCGAGAAGCGTCTCGAAATCCTGAGCACGAGTATTAGCAGTAGATGAACTATGCTTTCCACTTCGAATAGCGATGTAGTATGTTGGTCCAGAATATCCAACGGCTTGCGGTTGTCCTAGCATATTGGAAGTGATTTTGATACCAGCATAAACAGATGGTATTAATTTATGACGCTCAGCGATTACCCAATCGTGATCAGGCAATTTGATTCTATATTCCATGTGTATTAGAAGAGGTGCTTGCTTATGTGCCGCAGTCACGCCAATAGGGACTCGAGCTTTATCATCTTGAGATATGAAAAACACTTGATCTGGTCCAAGTATGGATGCTATAGTATGTTCTCTAAATGATGGATTGATGTTTCAGCGAACTTGCTATCTAAGTGGCTCTTAGGGTGATTAGTTTCTAAAACTTCTAAAATTTCTAAAATATCTAAAATTTCT